CACCACTCAAGGTGATAACCTTCCTCTTTTGGCACAAAGACTGACTATGGCCTTGGTGCTAAGTATGGTCGGAAGGCTGGAGAGTGGGGACCCTATAATGGGGGCACCTTGGGGGCCTTAGCCTTGGTGACAACAGTTAGAACCTACCTTCGCCAATGCACTTTTCTGCAGAAAAACCCTACCTCGTGATTAAAACGACTTCTCGTCTGTTCGCGGATGACTGAATTGTGTGCGCATTTGTTTGTTGCATTTGTTTGTTGCATAACATAACCAAACAACAAAGAAAAAATCACAAAAAACATTTTTACAATAAACACCCTTATCTCGGACAGTCTGCCTTTTAGCTAGTCTGGCTTCAGGTTCTTTGTAAGCTAAGTAGCCACACAGTCCGATAGAAGAGATAAGGGACGCTAAATACTATTCTTTCGCATAAAGCCATTTTTATCTCGGACAGTCTGCCTTTTAGCTAGCCTGGTTTCAGGTTCTTTGTAAGCTAAGTAGCCACACAGTCCGACAGAAGAGATAAATGCTATAAAATAAAAACAATAAAAATAATAAAAATCAAATAAAAATCCAACTTAAAACAATAAATGGGACCTTGTTCATAAACATTATACTCATAAATCATTCATATAGATAGTCCATTTCTCCAAAAAAAAAAATATATACACAAATACCATACATCATGTAGAAATAAAACATGATAAATAGGAAAATAAACACTCACATTCATACCTACAATAAGCATCATATTCATAAAGCATGCATTTTGGTTTTAGAACATGGAGGGGACTAGTAGACAATTGAAGAAAGTGGACATTTCCCGATACCATACTGAGAAGATAGAATGACTTTGCGCAATAATGCCACCAGAGGTCCTCTCCGACTTTGAAAAATCTTATGGACGGATTCTCGACCTGCTGAAGATTTGTGTCGATCAAGTTTTCATCAGGGTACTAGTTCACTTCTGGAACTCTAGTCTGCGCTGCTTCGAATTTCCGCAATTCGACATGGTGCCCACCTTGGAGGAATACCAGATTATGCTAAAATGACCCAAATCAGCCGGGGTCCATATCCACCATGGGACATACACTCCTGCAGCACAAGTCGTTGCCATCATCCGATTGCCATTCCGGCAGACTACCCTGATAGAAAAAGGGAACATCTAGGGTTGGAAAGTCTCAATGTTAGAAGACCATCTGTTCGATTTGGCTGAAAGGGCAGAATGGGTCACTTTTAACAAAACCCTGGCCTTAATCATATTTGGAACAATTTTGTTTCCCTTCCACATCGACACAGTGGATCAAGCCGTCATGGACGCCTTCTTCGCCTGGGACGTGAACTCGAAGAGTCCCTTGCCTGCAATTCTTGCCGACACCTTGCTCTCGGTGGAATTTTGCCGCCAGAAGCAAGGAAAAACACTTCGTTGTTGCTCTTCACTACTCTTTGTGTGGGGCATCACACATTTTTACGCCTCTAGTCACATGGGGATGTTCCCCAACCCTTTGAGGAGCTTCTCCAAAATCCCTCTCCAACGACACTTAACCTCAGAGTGGAAGGATGAGTTGGAACAATGGGACGCCAACCATTTATCCTGGGTCTGCCCTTGGTTCCGACCCGGTCCAGTTCTCATCAGATGTGGGGATTATCCGAATGTACCCTTGATAAGACTTAGGGGTTGCATAGCCTATTCACCTAGAGTAGCTATGAGACAACTCATGAGGACTCAAACTACAATATCCCAAGGGGAGCTCAGAGGACTGTGTTTCTTCGGAGACCCATGCACAATTGCTAACTCACCAGCTGTAAGAAGAGCATGGGAGAAACCAGTCTTTATGGGAGATGGAGAGCTAGGAAAAACTCGAGTGGTTGTCTCCAGTGACTATGAGGTGTGGAGAAAAAGAAGAGGGATGTCTCAACCATCCACCTCACTCATTACATGCGCCAACAGTGAAGAGTTGTAAGCTCAAGTCGACGCCTTGACCCAGAGGATAGAAATCATGGGAGCCCAGATGAGGGCCCTTGAAGAAAGGGAACAAGTATCTATCCTCACCATAGATGGTCTACAGAGGCAATGCAAGAAAAAGGATCATGAAATAGAACGCCTCAAGGATCAGTGTGCTGACTCTAATAAGCAAGCTATCCGAGCATCCAAAGCTGCTAGAATCAGCTTAGATAGCCAACTTCAAGAGATAACTGCCAAATCAGCACGCCTTGAGGCCGAATAAGCAAAACAAGCTCAAACGATCAAGGACTTGTTACAAGACCTCACCAAGACTCGGTCAGAAATACGCCAAGAGCGAGAGACCAATCGGAGACTCAACAAAAGTCTCGCTGAGCTACGCTGCAAAGAAAGAGACGGGCTAGCTTAGTACGACCAAGTACTACAAGAAAAGGACCGAGCCCTTGCAAAATTTGATGAACTACAAGCCTTGGTCATCCATCAAGAGGCGAAGATTGAAGAGGCTCAAAAGTATAGTGAAGATATGAGCCAGGCAGTCCAAAAGCAAAGCGAAGCATTCGCTCGTCATGTCCGGGAAGCTGAAAGAGAATTACATAGAGATCAAGACCCGCCTGTGGGTTTCTTTAGGCTTTTCCGTTTCTGTCAAAAGTTGCTTCGTAGTATGGAATAGGGGAATGTACACCTTTTACGGATAAATGAAATTTTTCTTTATTCAACAATTGTCTACTTGCATGCATATCATTCATTTGCATATTTAATTTCCCCTCCTTCACTCTTAATAAATAAGATAATAAAAAGGAAGGATTAACTGACACGTCTTCCAAATCAGAAGAATGGAGAGAAAGCCACTCCTAATCAAGCATTCCCCGCCACAAGAGGACAATAAGCCTCGACCGTTGGTCCTCAAAAATAAGGAAGAGGGGGCAAGGACACCAGTGCGACTATTTATGCCACGTCCTTTCCCCTACGAGTCAAATAAAGCTTTTCCATGGAAATATGGGGAATCTTCACCAATAAAGGAGGATATCTCCAATATAGCCGACATTGGGGGCATGACTAGAAGTGGAAGAGTATACTCCCCCAAGAACTTACAAGAAGATATCCCCAAGAATAAAGGAAAAAAATAAAAAGACCGAAGAAAAAGAAAATAAAGAATCCAAGGAGGAGATGGAGGAATTACTCCAGTTTATAAGGCAAAGCGAGTATTCCATTATTGACCAGTCAATCATACACCTGCAAAGATAACCCTATTATCTCTAATGATGAGCTCGGAACCGCACAGAAACGCCCTGATGAAGGTATTGAGCGAAGCGCATGTACCTCACACCATATCCCAAGAAAAGGTTGAGAGGATCACCGGTCACATTATGGCAAGCGATCACCTCACCTTCACAGAGGAAGAACTCCCCCTCGGGGGATCAAACCACAACAAGCTCTTGCACATCTCCATCAAGTGCAAGGAGTACCTCATCGCCAAAGTTCTTGTGGATAACGGGTCTTCCTTGAACGTGATGCCCAAGTGCACACTAGACAAGTTGACTATCCAAGGAACCCGTCTGCGCCCAAGCAGCACTATCGTTCGAGCCTTCGACGGATCAAAACGAGAAGTAGTGGGAGAAGTTAATTTTCCAATCCAAGTTAGACCCACTATCTTCAACGTCGATTTCCATGTAATGGATATTACTCCAGCATACAGTTGTCTCCTTGGCAGGCCTTGGATTCATGACGCTAAGGCAGTACCTTCAACGCTCCACCAGAAAGTCAAGTTCATAGTGGATGACAAATTGGTCACGATCCAAGCAGAAGATGATATCCTTATTAGTGGACCGTCCACCCAACCTTATGTGGATGCGACTGAAGAAGCCCTTGAAACATCTTTTCAAGCGCTCAAAATTGCCAACGTAGAGCGACTTCTCAAAAACACAAAGGTAGCCCGCATGATGTTTTTCGCCGCCGTCAAAACGAGGAGGTCGGAGCGACGTGATGGTTCCGACTTTCCGACTTTCGTGTTTTTATTGGTGTGGTTACAACGCCTTTAGGTTGTCCGATAACCGGGCTGAACCTAGGGGCGAGGTTTTCGAAAAGGCGCTCTTGGATTGTCCGATAACCGGGCTAATCCAAGAGCTAATTTTTTAAAGGGTTCTTCTGGAGTCGCCACAAATGTTTTTACCGGAAACATCGGAAAAGGAGTAAAAAGGCGTTGGTTTTCGAAAAACCAACTTTGGTCATTAGAACCAGAGTTGGGTAAGGGAATTAGTTACCTGTAAGGGAAGTGTTAGTTCCCTTACGACGCCCCTTTCGGGTTCCCTATGACAGGCCAGCTGCTTTAAATAAAAAACCCGGTGAAAATACGCTTTTACCCTTTTATTTGCGGAATTTGAGATTATGACTACATGGCCCTAATATCTATTGCATAATTAAAATTAAAGCAATAAAGTGGAGAGAGAGAGTATAGAAACCTCCAAGGAAAGCTTTCTATTAATTCTTTGAAAATTAGGGTGCTTTTTGGCAGCCTTTCGCTCTTTACAACGCCGGAATCTCTCAAAAACGCTATAAAAAACTCTAGAAAACACTCAAAAACTCCGAAAATGCTTCGGAGGGGTTCTAGAGAGAGAATTTGGAGAGATTTCTAGAGAGAGAATGGAAGAACTCTAGAAAATGAGGGGAATGGGGCTCCTATTTATAGGGATTCGCTCCTGTCAGGTCGAGATGGGCCGTCTCGTCTGACAAGGTCAAGATGGCCGTCTCGCCAATCGAGACAGTCGTCTTGCCTTGCATGAATGGCGAGACGGCTGTCTCGCCAATCGAGATGGCGGTCTCGCCATTCACAAGTGGCGAGACGGCCGTCTCGCTTCGCCAAACGAGACGGAGATCTCGCCAAACGAGACGGCGATCTCGCCACCTTCGCAAGGTGAGACGGCGGTCTCGAATCCGAGACGGCGGTATCGACCCTAAAAGGCGAAAATCCTTATTTTTATGCCAAAAATCCCTCCTATTCTAGTATGGGGCCTAATAGTCTCTCCTAATGGCTTTTTAGGCTTCATCCATCTTCAAAAAGGAGGTCTTCTAGTCTTTATTATGAGGCCGGACAAGATTTGGGGTCTACAATGTTGAAGCATGGTTACCATCCTGGCCAAGGACTGGGGGCAGATTCCCAAGGCATGAGGGAACCCCCGAAATTCGAAGATAATCCTTTCAAGTATGGCCTAGGATATGACCCTACTAAGGGCCGAGCAGAAGGAAGAAAAAGGGAAGTCTCCCCTCCACACACTCAAGCAGATATTCCGAAGCGGAGGGATGCAAGCGTCAAAAGCTACCCTAGTCATTAGGAGATCTTTTTCTTTACTTAAGGGATGTAAACCCAATGATTGTTAGAGATTATCCCCCGGAGCTAGCCCGACCCCCGGGCATTTTAGGGCACATATTCCCTTATTAATTAATACAGAATATACTTCTTACTATCTGCTTCTCTTCTTACTATTTCATGACTAGACCTCACAATAACCTTGTCTAAGTAAACAAAAAGAAAAAGAAGAATAAAAAGCGCATCCAAATAAACAAAACTTGTCATTGCCATTACAGTCAAGCTAGTTGATTAGAAGCACAAAATAAGGCTTTACCTCACCATAAAGAAATTCATGCTTCGCCAATATTGTGAAAAAAAAGGGGCAAAATACCCGGTAGGAAACCCATTAAGGGGGCTACACAAAAGATAGGGTCAACCCGGTAGGATACCCGAACAAAAATAAAGGGTAGCCTAGGCAAAAGTTAGGGTTACAAAATAAGGTCCGCTAGGATTCCCTAAACAAAAACAAAAAGAAGGAACCTAGACAAAAGATAGAGCCAAAACACAATATCCTAGTTCGAAAACCCAAAGGGCGATCTAGGGAAATCAACCAGCCATAAAAAGCAATGGAAATAAACTAAGGTGCAAGTACAAAAAAAAAAGAAACGTTTGCTTAGACAAAAAGCTTAAACACCTAAGCCTAACCTTAGCCAACCATTCTTACAAAACCCTTTTTCTAAATAATATTGACCATCTAAAACACAAGCCATTGAATTTGCCTTTTTACTTCTTTTCTCTTGACCCTCACAATATTATTCTAATAATTAATTTGGGAATATGGAGGCGTATAGTCAACAAGAGGATTGAAACCCCTAAAGTGAAGAAAAAGGGACACTAACATGGCAAAGTGTGCTCTACAAAAAAAAAGAGAAAAAGCAAAGAAAAAGAAAAAGTAAATTATTCCTCGGTCACAAGAAGTTCGGAATGGTACAACCAAATACAAGAACGCAGATCAGAGGACACCCGTCGCTACAAGACACGTCAGTTAAATCCTTCTGAAAAACTAAATGAAATAGGCATTATAGGACATCAAACATGAAAATATTGCATGCATAAAATGTTTTTGAACCAGGTCCTATTTTCTTCAAAAAAAAAAAGCCTCTAAAAAACGAGACCGCCGTCTCGATGGTCCATATCGCCGTCTCGATTTTCAGCAAAACGAGACCGTCGTCTCGACTAACGAGAATGTCGTCTTGACTAACGAGACCGTCGTCTCGACTAACGAGACCGTCGTCTCGACTAACAAGACCGCCGTCTCGACTAATGAGACCGTCGCCTCGACTAACGAGACCGTCGTCTCGACTTGACCAAAAACGAGACCGCCTTCTCGCTTGGCGAGACGGCCGTCTCGCTTAAGGCCAAAGTCCAGACGGCGGTCCCGAATGTCTAGACGGCGATCCCGAGGTTGGTCGAAAAGTCTATAAATAGAGGGGCCTAGGGGGGGTCTCCACACCCTCTCTTGCACTCCTACCCTCCATTCTCTCACTCTCAAGCATCCTACTGCCAAAATGCATCGTGGAGATCAATCCAAAAAGAGAAGAGGCTCCGTCGGCCCCAGTAGCTTCTCAGCCCCCACTCCTCAGGATCCCACACAGCTTTCACCGCTCCACCAGGCCCGTCTAGAGCACATCTGGGGGTACACCAGGCACTCCATGCTAAGATTTGACTTCGACATCCTCGCCGAATTCGGGTGGGAAGACGATGTCCGCACCCACATCGACAGCATAGGGTGGCGCTTCCTCCTCCAGTCTCCATCCACCCACGTCTATCCTCAGGCGGTGTTAGAATTTCTCGCCTCCATCTCTTACTCTGAGACCCCCTCCATGGTGTCAGGTCTCCCAGCAACAAAAATGGTGACATACTTCATAGGTGGGATGTACCGAACCACCACCCTGGATGAATTCAACGTGTCCATTGGATTCGTCCAGCCCGAGGACGTGCTGACTCGGGACTACCAGGAGGCCATCTGTGTACGCCCCACCAACCTCACCGCCGGCGAGATGTGGGAGGAACTGATCGGGGCGCACACTCTGCCCACACTGCTGAAGGGCTCCGCACTTCCCCCTGCCCTCCGTATCTGCCACAAGCTACTGACTGGGACTGTCCACGGGCGCAAAGAGAGTCAGGGTAAAGTTATCCTCCCGGACCTCTTCGTCCTCTACTGCATGAGCCAGAGGCGCCAGTGCAACCCTGGCTATTTCTTCCTGAATGCCCTCAAGGACTTCGGGAGCAGTCCTCATGGCTCCCCTCATCACCCCGCTGGCAGAAAAATGGGGGTGCAGTGGCAGGGAGGAACTGGCCTCCAGCCTCCGACCCGAGACTATCAATGGGTCGGTCCTGGTCAGCATGGGGATGCTGCTACGCCAAGGGACCCGACTGATCCTCCACCCCTCGTTGGATATAACGTTAGATCTCCACGACCTCGTAGCAATGCACGATCTCCCGACACCTCCCGAGTTCCAACAACAGCAGCAGTACACAGATGATTTTGCTGGCATCAACCGCAACATCTACGATTTGCGCCAGCAATTCGATCAAATGTCTATGAGACAAGAGCAGATGTCCCTAAGGCAGGATGTCTTCGACACGAGATTGGAGACATTAAACCAATACCAAGAGGGAATAAGGCAGGACCTGGCGACATTCCGGTAGGAGTACAGCGACGAAGCCCGGGATCAGGCAGAATTCTGAAGACATATGTACCGGCAATTCCCCTCTTACGGATCGTCTCTAGACTCGAGTCCACCGTCTTAGGGATAATGCTTAGAAAATAAACTACTGTAATAAAATTTTATCATAAATAAAATTTTATTTCATTCATTTTGCTCTCCCTTTCAAAAAGAGTCAGCGTAACAAAAGAAACTAAGAGTAAAAAGACTTACGCTCAAAAAAGCCAAAATCCAAAATCGCGAGAAAAAAGAGATAAAGCCGCGGAAAAAGGTAGGATTAAAACAAGTCAATTATCTTGACCAACAACTTTTCGACAACCAAGCAAGAGTCGAATAACAAAAGACTATCCGACAACCAGCAAAGTCGGATGACCATCATAAAAAAGATCAAAATCAAAGAATCCCCAACAACCAACAAGCTGGATGAACACCAACAAAATTCCCGACACAGACCGGACGACCACTCTCAGAAAAGACAAAGACAAGAGAACACATCTCAACACACGGCGCATGAGCTAGAGCAGTAAGCCGCCACCACAGCCAAAGGGTCAACTACCGTCTGAAGGAGCATCCGGAGGCACTTCACCAGATGGGGGTGTGTACTCATCAGGCCTTACAAAAGGGGGCTTACCAGACGGGGGTTCATACTCGTCAAACACCAGATGGGGGTGTATACTCATCAGACCTTACAAAAGGGGGCTTACCAGACGGGGGTTCATACTCGCCAAACGAGACGGCGGTCTCGCCACTTGTGCAAGACGAGACGACCGTCTCGACCTGACAGGCGCGAATCCCTATAAATAGTGAGCGCTCACCCCCTCATTTCACACAGTTCTTCCACTTTCCCTTCTACAACTTCTTCAAATTCTCTTCCTAGAACCCCTCCGAAGCATTTCCAGAGTTTCTGAGAGTTTCTTAGAGATATTTATAGCGTTTCCGAGAGTTTTCCGACGTTGTAAAGAGCGAAGGGCTACCAAAACGCACCCTAATTTTCAAGAAATTAATTAAAGAGCTTGCTTCGGAGGTTTCTTCATTCTCTCCCTCTCTTTATTGCCTTTACTTTTATGATTAAATTGCGTAATAGATATTAGGGCCATGTAGTCATTATTTTAATTCCGCAAATAAAAGGGTAAAAGCGTCTTTTCAATAAGTTTATTTATTAGTTGGCCTATCATAGGGAACCCGAAAGGGGCGTCGTAAGGGAACTAACACTTCCCTTACACGTAACTAACTCCCTTACCTAAACTCTGGTTTTAACGACCAAAGTTGGTTTTCGAAAACCAACACCTTTTTACTCCTTTTTCGATGTTTCCGGTAAAAACATCAGTGGCGACTCCTTAAGAACCCTTCAAAATCAGTTCTTGGGTTAGCCCGGTTATCGGACAATCCAAGAACACCTTTTCGAAAACCTCGCCCTTAGGTTCAGCCCGGTTATCGGACAACCTAAAGGCGTTGTAACCACACCCATAAAAATGCGAAAATTGGAAAGTCAGAACCATCGCGTCGCTCCGACCGCCTCTTTTTGACGGCGGTGACATCAATTAATGCTTCCTTTTTATTATCTTATTTATTTAAAAGTGAAGGAGGGGAAATCAAATATGCAGATGAATGAAATGCATGCAAGTAGACAACTATTGAATAAAGAAATTTTATTTATTCGTAGAAAGTGTACATTCCCCTACTCCACGCTACGAAGCAACTTTTGACAGAAACGAAAAATCCTAAAGAAACCCACAGGTGGGTCTTGATCTCTATGTAATTCTCTTTCGGCTTCTCAGACGTGACGAGCAAGTGCTTTGATTTGTTTATGGACCGCCTGACTCATATCTTCGCTGTACTTTTGAGCCTCTTTGATCTTCACCTCCTGATGGACGACCAAGGCTTGTAGTTTGTCGAGTTTTGCAAGGGCTCGGTCTTTTTCTCGTAGTAATTGACCATATTGAGTTAATCCATCTCTTTCTTTGCAGCGTAGCTCAGTGAGGCTTCTATTGAGCCTCTGGTTAGCCTCCCGCTCTTGGCGTATTTCAGACCGAGTCCTTGTGAGGTCATGCAGTAATTCCTTGATTGTCTGAGCCTGTTTTGCACATTCGACCTCAAGGCGCGCTGATTTGGCGGTGATCTCTTGGAGTTGGTTATCCGAGCTGATTCTGGCAGTTTTGGATGCTCGAATAACCTGTTCATTAGAATCAGCACATTGATCCTTGAGGCACTCTATCTCGTGATCCTTCTTCTTGCATTGCTTCTGTAGACCGTCTATGGTGAGGATAGATTCTTGCTCTCTTTCTTCAAGGGCCCTCATTTGGGCTCCCATGAT